ATATGAATCTCCTAATGCAAATCATTTCTTAAATATTAAAATTTCAAGATGATTATAAATACATTAAGAAAAAACAATCATATGTGATTACAAACTAACAACTTGAGACATTACTCAAGCCACACACCACTTAATATATCAAACACTAAAAGTAGTGAAACCCATTCACTTATTACCGGTCATTATAACACCTTTATATATATATATATATATATATATATCCAACTACACATATAGGTAGGTGTATAGTTTTATTTTTATTTTATTATTTTAATAGAATAAATTTTTGACCTTTGATATGTATTTTTGTCTATTTTATGATTTTAAAATGTGCATAAAATATTAAATGAGTAAAAATTACCTGATTGCACTCTATATCATGGTGTATATAACTTCTTTTTATCTTACGGCTTTTTTTAAAATTTCATTGGCCATTATCACTTATTGTTGATGATATATAACCTCCAAATTACATAAAATCAAAATTCTAATATGTACATTAATTGCATCAGGGAAAAATGATTCTGTTCAATACATTCACAAATCACATTTTTCCTACATGTGGTTCCAGAAAACTTGAAAACTACATGAAGTCTGATGACTTTCAGCTTCATAACTGTGCAGAATCCCATCATATTCTGTCTGAACTATTACATCATTACCCATTGCCAATCAAAAATTATCTGCCTTCACAATGGCTACTTGTAGCCCGAATTACCAGCGATACTATGGCGACTGGCCCAAGGACCAAAAGAAAGCATTAGCCTGGTGCCTTTCATGTCACAGCAAAAATAGCTGACGCCCAGATGTCTTCAAATGCTAACCACTGCTGCGTTTAAAATGTTCCCGTATAAACCTTTCAGCGTAAAAGGGGTATTTATTTCGAATATACTGCCGTAAACATTTCTGGTATGAGAAGTCGATCCATCCACCATCCGTTCTTACAACAAAAAGGCACCTTGAATGTCGAAATTGAGGATGGCGGTCAACCTTTTGTCAAAAGAAATGAACATTAGCCAAAGCCAGCATGCTGAGCATCATCCATTATATATCAATCTTAATAGGTTAGCATAGACTTACTGTGAATGAAAATTTTTCATGCACAACATTACAATGCCTTTCATGATAACTTTTTTGTTTTTTTTTAAGTGAATCATACCTTAAAGCCAGAATACAACCTAATCTTAAATAATCACCATACATCCCTTTAACGAAAGCTAAGAATAGCAACATCAAAATTTCACCCTTAACAAAATGATGAACAATTGAAGATCAAATTAGGTCCCTCTCTTTACTATAACAACTTATATGAAAGAAGCCAGTAAAGTTCTGTAATTCTATTCCATAAATCGATAGTTTCAACAGGTATTATTTATGGAGTATTGTGTACAACAAACTGTCTTTATGAAGTATTGTGTAAAGTTCTGTAATTCTATTCCATAAATCGAATGTTTAACAAATAAATGCTGCAAATAGGTAACACAAGGAAGGGGAGGGGGAAGGGGAAGGGGAGGGAGGGACAAACCCCCGTTCAGTAGAAGAATAACACTTACAATTACTGTGCTACATATAAAAAAGATCCACATAGGAAACCAGCACAAAATATTGAATATATCAAACAACTATCAAAGTTTCCGGCAATATCTCAGATCCAAAAGTATGCAACCTAATTTCTTAACTAATGAAAAGTACACATTGTTTGAACAGCCACATATAACATGTGCTACAAAGGAAACAGTTTTAAATTTGCTTACCTAGTAATGGATATACTAATGAGAATTATAATTAAATGAAAATCCAACATTAGAAAGAACAGAGATATGCATAGCAGGTTCTTGTCATATTCAAAGTAGTCACATTTGAAGGAACTATTTCTGCATAAAATGCAAAGAGACTTCAAAATTCCTCAAAGTTGCTAAGATTTACAAAAAAATTCAATCTACCATCCACATCAACAAAGATTCTAGCCTTTATATTTGTTTATTTAATGAGTCAATAAAAAACTAACATTATCAGTTGAACCACTGATTGAATTGGCAGCTTTAGATTAATTAAAATTACTGCTTTGTCTATCTTAAGGGAAAATTAGAACTTAAAATAAATAAATAAAAAAAGAGCAGCCTCCTCCACCTGCCCGTATTCTGTTCCACCACCACCCCCTGCAGCACATCAATGCCTACATCCCTTGTCAGCTGCCACTGATCTTTGCCAAGACCTGGTTCTTTGCATCAACCACCACCATATGTTTTTATTTCTTTAGGAGGAAATTTAGGAAAATCTGCCATAAACAACCTTTTTAACAATGTTTTTGCAAGAAACCACCTTTTACAAAAAACTTGTAAGAACAAACCTGTTTTTTAGGCACCTCATGCCAGATTTTGGCATCGACTTGTATTTTCAAGCATTGACCACCCACTTGCAGACCACCAAAAACCCCGTTCCGACCACATCACCACTATGATACCTGGCAGTGCTCCACCTTACTCCTCCAAAACCTACCCATACTCCCTCGAGATAAACCACCCAACAACCTTCAAAAACCCACCAAACCTACTTAAAATCGCCTAGTTAGCTCCAATACCACCTAAACACTTCAAGTCCACCCATCTACCACAAATATATATTATATACACACTAACTCTTTGTCAACCACCTACCCACCACCAAAAATCCCTCCCAAACCCCTCGAGGCCTCGACATCACCCACCCACCACAAAAATCCACCCAACTACCTTCGAAAATCATCCTAATGATTGATGAGAAAATACCCAAACCTTTACAAACACCCAAGCCACCCCAAATTGAGTTGAAAGAAAAAAAAAGAGGGGGGGGGGGGAAGGAAGGAGATTTGGCGCTGAGCCGCTGATAAAGGAGGGAAAAGAGAAGGTGGTTACGACATATCAATCATGGCAATGAGAGAATAGAGGTTAATAGAATCCAATGTCAGAATTTGTAAGTCGAAGGCTAGAATCCACCTTAATGCTCTTCCTCTAAGATATTAAAATCATGTCTATTCTTACGAGATTCTCTTAAAAAGGTGATTTATCATAGACAAATTTTCCAAAATTTTCTTTTTATATAGATAAAAAAAACATTTATAATAAATCTAAGGTGAAGGAAGACTAGTTGTTGTACATTTCACACCACTGCCCATAACTCCTGTGTGCCAATGCAACCCCTAGCTATTGCGTTCAGATCTCTTGCAATACCGTATCACTATCACGAGGGGAAAACCACATAAAACAAGCTTTTTTTTTTTTTTTTTAAATGATGCATAATTAAAGTATGATATTGATTATTTAATCAAAGAAATGTTAATGGGTTTGTTTGATATTGTTTTGATCAAATTCCTATGGAATTGTAATTTTTTGGATTTTATTATGCTAAGAAGAAACCCAATTCGTTTGGCATTGCTATGGTTTTCAATTTTATAGTTTTTTGTTTTTCAAAACCATCTGATATACTTCCTCCGTTTCTATTTAGTTGGCGCGTTTGATTTAGGCACATATATTAAGGAGAGCAGAGAGAGTAAGAGATAATGAAAAAACAAGTGGGGTAGCTTGTAAATGCAAGGTAAAAAAGTTACCCCAAAAGGACACGTGACAACTAAAAAAAAACTTCCTAAAAAGGAATAACGTGTCAACTAAAAAAAACAGAGGTAGTATGTTATATAATGAATAAAAATTTCGTTAAACTTATTAAAATCATGGTATTTATGAAATCTGATAACAGAAGTGGAAATACTTTTTTCTTGTTCCTGTTTTTTTGGATTTAATTTTTTTTTTTAAAAAAAAAAAACAAAAAAACAAAAAAAGGATGTCAAACAAGCCCAAAAATTTTGTTAAAACCTACTAACATAAAAAGAGGGTTAGGAATTTTGTTTAAATAAAACATCATCAAGGAATTTTTTATCCTTTTAGCATTTTTTACATAAATCCATAGAAGAAAACACTAGCTAAATTAGTTTTATAAATAGCAAAGATTGGTATATATATAACAAATGCGAAAGTTGTGCATATTAAAAACATCAAAATTGTCAAATTCTTTATAAGTATGCAACAAAAATATGGAAAACTACTGTATTATTCCAATCATATGAAAAGGATGACGCCTAAACACTATCGTATATATTCTAGGATGTATGTGGACTATGGTAAAGGAATACAGAGGATGAATGTTTAAACAAAGGTAGCACCTAAACAAAATAACGGTAGAATATCAAGAAAATCAGGTCTTGTAGTAATAACCTTAATAAAATACTCCCTTTAGCCTTAAAAAATCTTTTTTTTTTCTAGGTTTGGACACACATATTAAGGGATTTAAACTATGGCGTGTAGATTTTTTTGTATATGGTGAGGAAATTTTTTTATTTTTTTTTTTTATTTTTTTTTTTTTTTTTTTAGTGGGTCAAAGGACCCAAATGACATAGAAAACAGAGTATGAGCGTGAGAAAAAAGATTAGTCAAACAGTGCACATCACATGGGTTTAATAAATAAATGTTCATTTTAAGTATTAATAAACGTCCCATTTCACCCAAATACATTTTCCCTTGATAAAAGTCACTTTTCGAAAATGACTTGGTTGGAAAGAGTTAAGAAGGATATGAAGTATAAGGATTTACATGAGGATGTGGTATTAGATCGTAAGGAATGGAAGAGGAAGATTTTTGTCAATGACTACACGTAATAATCACTTTTGGTTCAAATAGCCGACCCCACTTATGGGATTAAGGCTTTGATTGATTGATTAATCACATTTAACCAACCTAACCCCACTATTTCTTCGTATTCCTTTTTAATCAAATCCTACTATCTTGTTTTTTACATTCAACTTTAATAAAGAAAATTTTACTAATTCATTTATGTATCATCCTAAAAACATGACAAGGCAAATGAGAGTTTATTTAGGGATGGAAAGAGTAACTAGATAATTTTGTGGATACCATAAACAAGATCTAAGAAGATTATAGCAAATAAACAAATAACACCCTACTCCCCCCCCCCCCCCAAATTTAGTTTTTCTTCTTACATTTTACGCGTGTGTCCAATCATACTTAGCAATTTAAAGAGGATGGATTTTAGATTTTATATGCTAAATTTTTTATCCAAGGGTCACGGGCTAAGCAAAAAAACCTAGTTCAATTTAAATCAAGCACTTGCATATTGAATTAGTGGTGATGCTTAGCCCATGACCCTTGAATACCAAATCAACAAATTTAGTAGTTAAAGTATGGCCTCATCACTTGTTTTATGCACGTCAAGCAATGAGCGCCTGTAGCAGCAAAGAAAGATGGTTATTGACAGTGGGTGCACATCCTACATAACAATCAATTCAAGCTTATCTTGCAAATTTAACTCTTCCATCAAAGTTCCAGTTCGTATGGGAAATGGTGCTATTGTATAGTCCGCTGGTGTTCAAACCAAGAAAGGTATGATGTCCTCCTTGTTCTAGATTTGAATGAGAGTTTGCTTACTGTTGCTCAAATGGTTAACAATGGTTTTTAACTTATCTTTGAGAATAACCATTGAACTATCATTGACTCGAATAAGAAAGAGATTGTAAAAGTCTCGATGGAAAACAAAAGCTTTCTATTGAAGTGCAGTAGAGAATGTGAATGCAGCAAACTCAACAGACACATGGCTATAGCATAGGAGGTATGGACACTTTAATTGCTCTCAATGAACATCACAAGAATGCAATTTGTATATCTAATGATCTTTGTGAGTCTTGTCAATTTGGCAAGCAACATAAGTTGCCTTTCTCGAAGGAGAACGTGTGGAGAGCATAAAAAAATTGCAAACGTTTGTGGACCTCATCGAACTTTATCTCTTGGTGATAACAAGTACTTTATCCTTTTTATCGATGATTTCACCTGCATGACGTGGGTGTATTTCATGAGAGAAAAGTTTTCAAAAAAATTAAAGCACCGGCAAAAGCTCAAAGTGGCTGTAAACTAAAAAAAAAAAAAAAAATCAGATCAAATCGAGGCATGGAATATACTACCTCTGAATTTGGTCTTTTCTGTGAAGATTAAGGAATTGAACATGATGCTTACAGTACGGAAAAATAGAACCATGATGGAAATGGCTCGCAGTTTGTTAACCGAGAAAAATCTGCCAAAAAACAATCTGGCAGAAGCAATTCACACAACCATATATTTGCTAAACAGGCTGCGCACGAAAGCGGTTCAAGGCAAAATTCCAATTGAAGCATGGAGTGGGAGAAAGCCAACAGCATAACACTGAAGAGTATTTGGATCAGTTTGCTATGCTCAAATTCCATCTCAAAAGAGAAGCAAACTAGATGCAAAAGCCGAAAGAGGAATCTTCCTCGGCTATGATTCACAAGCCAAAGGATATCGATTTTTCAATCTTAGTAATAAAAAGATCATGATCAGCCGAGATGTTGAATTCAATGAAGATGCAAGTTGGAATGGGGAAGAAGAGGTGGAGAAGAATTTTTTCAAGTTGGCAGTGAAGTGCATAATGAACTTAGAGAGGAGAATATCGAAGAAGCTCCTTCCACTTCTATACAAGATAGAAATGGCACTGATGAAACTAGTGATGACGACAACGCCACGGGTCCAAGAGATAAAAAGTCTCTATCAGATTTGTACGAGGAATGTTCAAGCTTTCACCTAGACCCGGAGGAATGTGAAATATGCTACCTTGGTGTTGAAGAGCCCCAAACATATGAGCAGGCTTTTGAAGACAAAAGGTGGCAGCAAGCAATGGAAAAATGAAATCAATATGATCAAGAAAAATCAAACTTGGGAGTTGGTTGATAGACTAAGTGATCGCAAAGTGATTGGCGTCAAGTGGCCTAATGGGACCATAAGCAAGTTCAAGGCTAGATTGGTCATCAAAGGATACTCCCAACAAGCAGAAATTGTTTATGGAGATACATTTGCTCCGGTGGCAAGGCTTGATGGAAGATTTATCAACTCAATGTCAAGTCTTCCTTTCTCAATGGTGAACTCGAGGAGCAGCAAATTTACATTGAGCAAACTCCCAGAATTGCTATTAAAGGGCAAGAAAAAAAAAAAAAAAAAAAAAAAAAAAAAAAAAAAAAAAGGTGTGCAAGATGGAAAAAGGCTCTTTATGGGCTAAAACAAGAGCCACGAGCATGGTACATCAAGATTGACTCACATCTACTTGCACAAGGGTTCAACAAAAGTAAAAATAAGCACTCTCTATGTGAAGTATAAAGGAGAAAATGATTTGCTCATTGTTTCACTCTATGCTGATGATCTTGTCACGGGAAAAAATTTAAAGATGATCCTCTAGTTCAAGGATGAGATGAAAAAGAAGTTCGAAATGACAGACTTAGGCTTAATGAATTATTTCCTAGGGATGGAAAGATGGAATCTTCCTCTCTCAAAGGTGCAAGTGATGTTCTTAAGAAGTTTCATATGCAAAACTGCAAGCCACTCAGTACACCTCTTGTAGTGAATGAGAAGCTGCCTAGAGATGATGGTCAAAGGAAAGTTGACACTAGCAATACAAGAGCTTAGTTGGAAGTCTACTTTACCTCACAGCAACAAGGCCAGATGCGATGTTCGCAACTAGTTTGCTTTCAAGGTTCATGAGTGAACCAAGTGATGTTCATATGGGTGCTATCACCTCAAATATATAAGAGGAACCTCAGATTTTGGTGTTATGTCTAACGCAAGTGCAAACTCCAAATTGTTTGCATATTCAGACAGGTGGTTCAAACAATGACATGAAAAGTACTCTGGGCTATGCTTTTACACTTGGACTTGGAGTGTTTTCATGGATTTTGAAGAAGAAAGAAGTAGTAGCTCAATGAATACATTGCAGCATCGGTAACCGTTAATCAAGCGGTTATACTTGCTGACTTGAGACACAAACAGGAAGAAGCTACTGAAGTTCTAGTGGACAACAAATCAGCACATGAAGATTGAGCATTATAAACTTCGAGAAGCTGAGCAAGAGAAGGAAGTGAAGCTGATTCATTGTCCTAATGAGGGACATTTTGACCAAGGCTTTACCAAAAAGCAGATTTGAGTTCCTTATACTCAAGCTTGGTAAATGAGACTTTTAGTGTTGAGAAGTCAGTGAAGCAATCAGTGAATTAACTTGAATGTACTTGTTATTAGGGGTATAGTTGAAATGCCAAAAGTTGTGACTCTTCATTGCATCATAATAATGTAGAAAGCATCCCTCACCCCTATATAAAGTACTCATGTACATATCAAAATAATATAAGAAATCTTCCTACTTTTTTTCCACATACCCTGCTAGCTTTGCTCTAACATTATAATAGTGTTCAGGAGATTTTATTGTTTAGTTAATAAATGATGTCTTAATAAAAAGGTGGAGTTAATAGGATATTGTACAATGTATATATTATTGATAAGTGTTGGACCCTAACTTTAATAGTGGCGAATTGAGATATAAATTATATTATTGTGAGTCATTGCCAATTGTAGTTAGCTAATCTAATATCTATTACGAAGTATATTTTTAATAGAGAAGTATATTTGATGAGAAATAGTAATAGAACTTTTTAATTGAATGAAAGGGAGTGTAAAACCCTATGTTTTGGTCACTAGAAAGAATAGTAATAAAATATTAGTGGGTCCATACTATAAAGAAACTTGTGTCAACTAAATTGAGATACACGCAGATAGAAAGTGAGACAATGATATCGAGATATAAGTAGGATGAAAAAAAAAAATAAAAAAAAAATAAAAACTACAACAATATGGTGGGGAGATTGAGTCATACCATAATTGAATCTAGTCCACATCCAATTTTATCTTCAGAACGAGGATGATAAGCAAGCAACCTCTCTATGACAACTTTTTCGTCATCAGATGTAAGACGTTCCCCATCCATGTACCTGCCAATACAAAATGTCAACCAGGGTACAACAACCTTAGAGTCTGTGAGGATCATATAGGTTCATGCAAGTTCTAAGAACTAGATTACGAAGCATGTCAAAGGGCTCCGCCCAGTCACCCACAACTATAATTCGTGATACATGTTTGGGATTAAGTTTGTGATAATTACAAAAAAGAACACTTTAATTCCATGATTTGAATAACTATAATGAAGCCTTAAGAAAAAGGGTAGAAAATAAGTAAGAAAACCCAGCATTATCCTCTGGCAGGAAGTTATGGTGCTCAAGGTTAATGTCAAATCGCTATATTTAAGAATTCTGTTTTATATTTCAGCGCGTGTCATCTTTGTGTAAATATTAGTTTCGATAAGAATTAACCAACAGCGAAAATCCACTTCTTTTTTACTTAAAGCTAAAATCTCCTCTTCGAGAATGAAGCTTGTGTAGGTCTGTGTCACTCTAGAATTTTTGCATCTCACTTAGACACGAGGGAATATAATTCTAGAATTCCTCTTATAATGTATCATGTTTCTCCCTTTAATGAATTTTTAGTTTTCAATCAAATATGGATTATAATATACAGCCCGTATGGTCAGTATTAATAGCAATTACTAAATAATTTACAAGAAATTTTTCCATAAAAGTCTCGAGCCTCTGTTAATGAAGTCTAGACATTTTCATGAGGGCCGTTTCTGCTTTGAATCAGTCTATACCAAAGAGAAACACACTTTGGTAGAGACATCCAATTACTAATACCTAGGCCACCTCCCCATCAGCTATACAGACACAATCCCATCTAACAAAATGATATTCCTCTACTTTGGATGTACCCCGGACCACTTAAAATCTCTCATCACCTTCCAATTCTTAGCTACTCCTATTGAATATTTAAAGAGGCAAAATATATAAAAATGTAAATAGATAAGACAATTCCGCACAAAACTCATACAACCACATAAAGAAAAAACTACTTAGAAACCCTGTCTACAAGTAGGTTCCAAAACTACTACTAAAAAGATTTCAAGGCAAGTCTAAAGGAAAGTCATATAACCACATAAGAAATATAAGCTCTCTGCAACGAGCCAAAAGCTGCATTGCCACGTGGACTAATTACGTATGAGAGGAGGCGCAAAAGAAACCATTAGGGGTTGTGTGAGTGGAGCGGCGAAATTCAGAAGAAATAGACAAAGTATGGCAGGGGGCTGTCAGGATATTTTGTTCACTTTTTGCTGATTATGTACATATAAAAAGGGGAAGAACGGTTGTGCTTAGGTAGCTGGTTTGTGGTATTTTGAACTGAGAGAGTAGTGACCTAAAGTCAAGTTGAGATATTGGTGGCCTCAAGCCACTGTTTGCAAGAAAGTTCCTAATTTTATTAATCATCAAGCCTCATTATTTCCTCAATCAGATTTTCTCTTATTTTGCTTATTTATAAATGTGCTTAGTAGAAGTAGTTTATTACACACTTACATCAAATTTTTTAGATACCTTCTACTCCTACTCTACAACAAGGCCTTAAATTCTATCCCTTAGGTTTTTCCCCCTAAAAAAGAATCAAGGAAAGCAAGAGGCGAGTCAAGAAATTCTATCCAAGACAATAGAAGACATAATAATCTTACACCACACATGGATAAACCATTCGCTTTTGGTCACACTTAGGATGAACTTTACTACATGATTTTGAACACTCATGCTAAATCGACGTTTGTTGAAAGACAAAAGGACATTAATCCTTATAAGAGATTATTCACAAGATACCCTCTGATATATCATTTTTGATCTTATATGAGTTAAAAAGTTATTCTTCTTTCAAGAAATGAGCCAAAAACAAGTATAAGAAAATACAAAATTGATTCTATCATCCCAAGTTTGATCCATCTTCTCTTAACAATCCCACTCTTCATTTGAACTACGTATAATCTAACCTTTGTATGACAGCTTGAGTTGGGTCAAGGGAAAGGGTAATTTCAGGCGGCACAATGTGTGCGACCCAACCGCGACCAATCGGTCCCCATATTTGGATATTTCAAATATGTGTAGATTGTTAGCCAAAGTCTAAGGGCTTTAAAAGTGAGCAATGTAGTTCGAAATTTCGAATCCTAACGGAAACCTTTTTAAGAGTAATTAACCTCCACTAAGACAGTTGGAGTGCACTTTCACTCTCACATTTTCTTTTTTGTGAGGGGGGGGGGGGGATTGATTTTTTACCTCCTTTAGTCTACACACTTCACCCTTGTTTATCCCTACATTTCCATCTCCCAAAATAAATCTTTCCTTTTTTTTTTTTTTTTACATAGGGAAAAGCTTATTAATACATATTAATAGAAGAACTAGAACAATACGAAATTAGATAGGTAGCTGCATCTTTAGCTAACCTGTGTGCTTCTTCCACTTTAGCTCTATTTTCCTTGCGAACAATGCAGCACCAGTTAAACCTCTTACCCTTTTCCTTGATTTCAGCTATAGGTCTAATCAATTGTCTTATCTCAAGTTCTCCCCTCTTGTACTACATCAACCAAATTTGCAGCATCTGTGATAAAATCATACTACTAAACCCTTCCTGAAAACACCATTTCATTGCATTTAGGCATGCCATAGCTTCAGCAAAGCTTGCCATCCCAAAATCACAGCCATACCTTCCTGTCAAGACTCCACCATCCACTAGTGTCCAACCCTATACCCATTCTTTTTAGTTTCTTATTCCAAGCTCCATCCACTTGTATCGAGAAATGAGAAGAACCCTAATCAAACTTACGTAGACTGGCTGTTGAAGCCAGGAGGGTGAATTGGATCTAATTCAGGAGGATGCAACACTTCTAGTCCATTTGAATCTTGACTTGCAAAAGTCTCATGTTCTTCCATACACTTGTCAATCTTCCCTAGAATCTCCTCTGCAGTCACAATATTTCCACTAAAAGTGAATTCATTCCTGGCTAGCCATATCTCCCACAAGGTAGCTAAGAAAATTGGGACCCTATCACTTGCGGGTCCATCCTGACTATAAAAGAGTCAAATATAAGAAATTATCCAATTTTGAATGGTAAACTCCACATTTTCTTGAGATCTAATATTTAAGCTATGTTTGGATAACAAAAAATGGAAGGAAAGGAAGGGAAGGGGAAGGGAGGGAGAAAAACTTCCTTGTTTGGATAATATGTTGGGGGAGGGAAGGGGAGGGGGAGGGAGGGATCCATTTTCCCTCCTCCTTTAATAAAGACCTTCCCTTCAAAATTGGAGAGATTTGGAGGGAAAATGGAGCTCATCATTTCCTCCACTTTCCCTTCCTTCCCCTTCCTCCTATTTCCCTCCCTTCCATTTCCCTTATAATTTGTTATCCAAACATAGCATAAGGGTACCACCAAACCATACCCTCCTTGGATTACCACACTGTCTCAGAAGGTGATTAATGCTTTCTTCTTCCATATTACAAATCTCACATAAACTTGATTCACTCAAGCCTCTGTAATACAAATTGCTCTTAACCGGTAATTCGTTATAAAACACTTTCCAGATAAAAATCTTCCACTTTGGAAGCAACTTTTGTTTCTACATGAAGTTTAGGAATTTTACCTCATCGGGCGGAATTTTTTCATTCTGAACTTGTTTACCTAGCAAGAAAGCATACCCCGATTTTGTGCTAAAGTCGTCTGACTTGGTAAAGTTCAGGCAAAACACATCCTTCCTATCCACATTGGGTAATTCCATAGCCCCTATTTCCCTGACATCTGCAAATGAGAAAGATTCTCGTAGTTTCCTCCCATCCCACGATCGAGTGTCCCTATTAATAAAATATTTTACTTTCCATCTAAAGGCTTGTCCAATAGTTACACTTGACTTGGCTTGTGAAATTTTCCCATTTACCCAAAGATCACGTAAAGCACTTATGTTATTCCCATTCCCCACCTTCCATCCATGTACTTTAAATTTCAACTCACTTATTCTAATACCCCTCATTCTCCAAGAAATTCTTTTATTCTTTACCAAGGGCCTTTTTGCCTTCACTAGCATAGACGGGCAATTCATAGAATAGATTCTAGATACCAATAATTGTGGGTTGTAATGTATAAGCCATGCTTGCTTCATCAGCAAAATAAATCTTAAAGTCCCATTAAAACATTAATATTATAAATTATAATTCTATAAAATTAACCACCTACCACAAGATGAGGGGAAGAGATTGCTTATTTTACTCTTCATTATAATCAATAAGTCTTCAATTTTATCATAAATTCAAAAGCTAAACAATCCAAACAAGGATAGAGTCCATAGAGATACTATATATCTCCCAAATTTCTCCAACTATGGTCTTCAATTTATAGAACCAAAATACAGCCTTAATAGTTAACACATCTACTTTTCTCCAAGCAAAATAATAAGAATGATTACAAATCTCACACGTATGGAAGTTGAGTAGAGTAGCAATGATGCCTCCCAAACAATTATTTTATTTATTTTTACAAAATTTCAATGATATCATACTTTCACTAATTGTCTCAATAAAGTAAAGGTTATTGAAATGATGAAACGCTAATTTTTGTGGAATGTATTTTTTTTGGAGTATAGAGGTTGAAAGAGGTTGATTATTTAAATATATATTGAACCCTTCCCTTCTATCTCTAATCATCTTCTTCTTTCACTTTGAATTCACCCCTCCTTCTCTCCCCTTCTCTCTCGGTCTTGATTTATCTTCCTATTGCACTCTCAATGTCAATGTCATCCATGGCTGGAAATGATTAATTTAATATCAATTATATCTTCAAATATAAATGCAAAAAAAAATAAATAAAAAATAAGGAAAGGTTCTTTGTGTTCTTTTCTGTAATAATCTCGTCTGATTGCCTAAAAAACACAAGGAAATAAATTCATACTTGAATAACTGTTCAATCTATCTCTCCTTTACAAAGTGGATGTATTTTACACGGCAAATTTTTTTGTTTAATTTGTTTTGTACGTCCCTTTTCTTGTTGAAGATTACCCAGTAAGAAATAACAAGCACTTGCACAACAAATCAATGATAGATATTCCATTTTTTATATTTGTGTTTTTTCTAGTATTGCTCATGAGTTGCCTTCATTCTCCGCTAGTTATTTAGGAGCCAAAATTAAAGAGATGATACTTATTTCAAATCAAGGAAGCCTGCTTTGCCTAAGGATAACAAATCTCCTGCACATTGCTTCACATGATCACTTTTAACCAGAATGTTTGTCAGTATAACATAATACCCAGCTCTTGTCCCCTCTTCATGTATCAAAAATTCTTCCAGTCCATTTACTTTCACTAAAAAACCTTCGAAAGAGCTGTAACATCAGGCAACTCAGCAACTGTCAGTTGTTCCTTTAGTACCTTCATTATAGAGTGTATGTGTGTTTACAAGCAAAAGTGAGGAATTACACTGCCAAACCACTATCAAACATATACAACCTAGCCAAAACTTGGAAAAGAGCAAACCTTTAACCCCCCACTTCCCTATGCCCCTTAGCAGACAAACTAATAGTAACAATGCAAATCCGTAACTCAATCAATGTTTTACAAAACCAATATCCAAACTATACTTTTAGTATCGCTTAATGATCTAAAGGTTATTCAAGTCTATAACTTTTTGTTCCCTGTAAGCCTCATCACCGGTTTTCCACACACAGATAGTAAACAATGTTATCATATTGAGGTGTACGAAGTTTACAAATTCCATTGAAACAACCAGGAAAATAACCATCAAGAGTAATAACTAATACCCCTTTCACACTTTTTATTTCTATCACAAGAAAAACCCTTTTCACGTTTATTGTCGAGAATTAAAGGCGAGTTCAGGTTTAACAAGGTTTAAACCAAAATCCACATTTTGATCAAAGAGATTCATGTTTGGATAGCAACTTGGAATTGAAAGAAAGAGTAGAGGAATGAAATGAAGGGAGAAGACCTAACTTCATTTCCCTCCAAATCTCTCCATTTTGGGAGAGGGATTGTAGTTGAAGAGGGAGGGAAAATGGATCGCTCCTTCCTCCCTTCCTTGCTAAAATTCTTTATCCAAACAAAAGAATTTGTTCCCCTTCATTTCCCATCCCTCCTTTTCTCTCCTTTTCCTTCTATCCAAATAATAATATGTTTAAAGATAAGGAGAGCAAAACCCTTCCTCTCAAAACAAATATGCAGGTCAAATGGTATTCCATGATACTCATATACACACTTATATAGGACCTATGTTCTTCCGACTCTCCATTTCACCTCAAATACCCGTGAGGCCATGCCAAATGAACCCAAATACGACTTCGACCATCACTAAAACTTCTAGCAAAGTCTTAATAATATAAATTTAAGAAATATTGGCTCAAAATTAAATTCATCAAATGTGTAAACACAAACAGAGGAATCGACCGAAAACAAACCATAATTTGGACAGAATATATAAATAATACCTATTAGAGTGGATAATATCTTTGGCAAGAAAAGTTACAGGCTCAATATCCCGAAGAATCTCATCTTCTTTATCTTTCCATTTTCTGTAATTAAGCTCATCTATTCCGTCGAATAATTTGGGAGGCTCTTTAACCCTCAACAATTCATTCGCCGACGAGTATACATCCTCCTCCGAGCGAGTGGACTCAGAAGAGGCCGCTGAGCAGAAGCGACGCCGGACAGGAATGATGAAGACGGCGGTGAGTTCATGGTGGTTGTGAAGGAAAAGGCGAAGGCGGAGAAGGGGCAGGCCTCGCAGAAGAGGAGGCGCAGCCATGGAAAAGGGAAGTGTAGTGCAATGCAGTGTAGAGAAGGAGGATAGAGAACAGGGAATGAGGAGTTTATGGTGGTGAAGGAAAAGCCGAGTGGCGGGGATTACCCTGTTTGATAAGAGTAGAGATGGATATATCTAGTGGATCACCCACTCACCCGGTCCACCCGCCTTATTGGATGGGTGAAAAACCCGATTTAAACGGATAATAGGTGGGTGATGGATTAACGGATGCGGGTGACGGATCGGATTCGGGTGGACAAATTTCACCCATCACCCGACCCGTTAATCCATCCATCACCCGAATATTAAAAAAACAACATATAAAACAAAAAGAAAGAAAAGAATATTGATTATTAAATTGCAAAAAAACAAAAAAACCAAATGTATTCACTACTCAGTACTCAGCAGACATTATGCCTCCTCCCCTCCTTTTCTCTCTCCTCCATTAAAGAATACTACGAGTTCTCCATTGAAGCGGTTTCACAAATTTCTCTCCTTCGAGAGTGACGAAGGGTCTTCTTCACAATTTACTCTCGAACCCTCAAATACACCCAGAATTCCCAAAACCCCATTTATTTATTTATATCTTAATTTTCCCCTAAATTGATTTCAATTTCTGGGTTTATTGAGAATGCAAAATCAAAAAATTTAATATAGTAATTCCTAAGCTAAAACGTTCGAAACCCTCTGCCTCTCTCTGCTGAGTTTGCTCTCTCGGACTATTAGACAGAGTGATGAACTCACGGTGGCGCCACTGAAGCAAGGTAAACGGTGGTTGAAGCAAGGCAAACTACGGTGGCCTCCATTCTTAAGATATGTTCTTCACTTCTTGTAAATCTGTAATTGTTGTTGCTAATTTTTCCTTGTTCATTCGAATTTAATTCGAATTTTTTGCTTGTTCTTAGGTTTAATTTCATGAATTTGCTACTTGTTTTTATGGTTTTATGTATTTTCTTGAATTTCTGCCCTTTTTTCACGAATTTGCCATAAGTTTTTTTTGTTGTTGTTAATTTATGGTTTTTTAGGGTTCATATATATATGTGAATTTCTTGGAAAGAACTAAGTGTAATTTAATTTTTTAATTTTATTAAATATCTGATTACCACCCGATCCATCCGTTTCACCCGTGGGTGATGGATGGATGGATTCGGGTGGATATATTGGCGGGTGGTGGATGGATCGGGTGGGGTGGATGGAGGTGGGTGGTGGATGCGGGTGACGCTCCACCCGCCCTGAACCCAATTTATTTCCATGTCTAGATAAGAGAGGGAGGATAGAGAACATACAAATTTTTGCCTACACCCAAATGCAGGCAGCACTAGCTGCACCCCCTCTCGTTCTAATGACGTCATTTAAGTTTATTAGTTTCGGCTCACTTGAACAATGTTCATTTTTATATATGTAAATGTTCAATTTTGCATTACTAAATGTTCAATTGTTAATATGACATACTATATTCAAATTGTTTTTTTTAAAAATAATTGTTTTATTAATTTTTCTTATTATTTAATTAATTTAATAGATTTCATTTGAAAAATATCTTTCAAATAAAAGTAATTTAATTACAATTAATATATACTCATTGTTTCTTAAGCATAAAAGGGAACTTTTTTTTTAACTTTTTTAATGTAGATATACTTAATTTAATAAATAAAAATAAAAACTACAAGGGAAAACAATTAAAAAAATTAAACTTAAATAATGTACGTATTACATATGTGCTTTACAAATTAAACATCGTCCTTTGATTTAATACATTTAGTATGAATAAAAGATACTACGATATATAATCATCCTCCTTGTTGTATGATGTTTTTGTGCTTTTCTTAATACATATTTTTTTTTCTCAATATATTCATTATCGTCTTCAACCTTTTATTTCATTATCCATCCTGTGTAAATAAGCGATTTTTTTTAAGAGAATACTTTAGTAATAATAAATACACACTATAAACAAAACATGATAATATAATAAGCATTTACAAATGCAAATTTGAACACATTACTAGAAAAAACATGATTTAGTATGAGAATGAACAAATGTTAAAATCTAAATGAACATCTTTCAACATAAAACTGAACCAAGTATGAAAAGTCAAACAAACATCTTTTAATACAAGAATGAACAAATATTAGAATTTAATTGAGCATTTTATTTTATAACAAACAAGTATTAAAATAAAAACAAATACTCCGTATCTTTTAATGTGAGAATGAACAAGTATTAAATTAAATGAACATGTTTAGGTACGAGAATGATAAGCACTAAATTGCAAATGAACATCTTTTAATATGAAAATGAACATGTATTAGATTTCAAATGAATATCCTTTAATACATATATATGAGAATAAACATGTATCAAGTTTAATTAAAATTATATTAATATGAAAATGACCATAAATAAAAATAACTTCATCTACAATGAATAATTACAATCGATTTAATTTACTAGCCAAAATTCACCAAATAAGAGTTTTAATTAAAGTATTAAGTTATAATAATTAATAATTGACGATTCAATTCCATTTATAAATTGATAATTTGTCTTTATATTTGAATATTATTCCTTCTACAAATAAACATGAATTCCGTTTAAATGTAATATAGCTTAAATTTACCATCTAAAATTCTCCAATAACCATTTGAATTAAGAATTAAGTAATATTACTTGATGATTGACGTTTTAATTCCATAAATCAAATTCATATATCTTTAATTTTAGTGATTTATACTTTGAATATTATTCCTTCTACAATTGAGCATTAATTCATCCTAAAATGAACATATACTATAGATTACATTTCATGTATACTCATAATTCACTAAATAACAATTTTAATTAACGAATTGAAATAAGCAATATTAAATGATAATTGACGTTTCGACTCTATAATAAAATTGATAATTCATCTTTAGTTTTAAATATTTAATTATTATATTTTGAACATTAATCATTCTACAAATGAACATGAAGTCCATCTAAAATGAACATTTATAATATATTAAATTTACACAAAATTTATATGAGCACTATTAAAATGTGATTGACCATATATTTACATGAGAAAATGTATATAATGAATTTCAAAATTAAAATAACAAACTGACAATATTTTTGTGATCATGTATCCATATAAGTATGAGTATGTATCAAAATTCAATTAAGATTCTATGTAACAAATATGAATGTTTCACGATACTGAAATTTCGTAGAATTAAAGAAAAAAAATTAAAGAATCTATTAACTATTAATAAAACAAAAGTTTGCTGACATCATACACCCCCTCACTATCCTACGTGTCACTTCCACATTAAAATTTTTCCCGCCATTTTGTTGTACGTATGATGTCATCATTTAAAAAAAATTATAAATATTGTATTAGATAATAGATGCATACTATAAATACAGTTGTATCAAATTGCATAACAAATTGCATTTTAGATAAAGTTTGCCAGTTGCCTATAATTACGGAGCTATCAAATGTATATTGTTCCAAATTAGTATTGTACAGTATTAGATAAAATCCATTAGTTAAAGTTTGTGAGGATAAGTGTAAAACAAAACAAAAAATAAAAAATAAAAAAAATAAAATAATAATAATAATAATAATAATAATAATAATAATAATAATACCAAACTTTATCTAATGCACGGTGATCATGTGGAGCATTTTTTAATATATATTTATATGTTGCAACTTTTTTCAACATTGTGTCTTATGTTATTTGAAGGTATGAAAATATTTGTCTTCCACATTTCAATTAACAATTTAGTTTTACTTATATTGACGTCAATTATTATGATTATTCGGTATTAACTTTTTTAATCATGCAGGATATATGAAAATGTCTGCACAACAATATGAGTTCATTGAAGATATAAGTCCAATGAAGGAAAATTGATACGAATAATACGCTTATGGAAGCCACCAAGCTTAGATAATCCAAATGACTATAATAGCAGTGAGATAGTATTTCTCGATGAAAAGGTATTGATAATATATTCAAAATAAATACTTAAGTCACATACAAAATAATTTTAACTCTATTTTCTAAATGTATGTTTTTTAATGTTTCATGTGGTTATAAAAAAATATAGTACTTGTTTTTCAAAGGAAATGTGAGAAGCTTTTTTTTTTTTTTTTTTTTTTTTTTTTTTTTTTTTTTGTGTGTGTGTGTGTGGTTAAAATAAATATAGGTTTGCCTAATTAATTAATGAAAAGATACAAGTACCATCATTTTTTTTTGAAGAAATGCTGAAGGAGCAAAAATGCTACTTTATATAGTAATTAGATACTATCGAATTATGCTAATTTATTTTATACAATATATACTCACATCTTTTCCTAAAATTCATATAAACAATGAAAAAATGTCCAATATGTTATGAGTATAAGATAGTACGACTACTTTTATTTCTTTGATTACTTCAACATACTAATTTGATTATGAAATATATATATATATATATATATATATATATATATATATATATATATTAAAAGAAGAAAAGAACAAGTAAACTTTTAATCTTTCTAAATAAAAAACACATGATAATATTTAATTTCAAATAATAATATAAATTTAAATTAGGTAAAATATTTATCATCACCGTGCAACGCACGGGTACTAATCTAGTTATGTATAAATGAACTTTATATAAAAAAATTTAATGATAATCTATTATATGTAAATAACCATATATATTTATATCATAAATGAACATCTATCAAAATAAAAATGAACATCTATCAAAATAAGAATGACATTTTATCAAAAATACAATTCGTAATAATCCTATAAAATAACAGAAAATTACAGCAATTGTACATTGTTTTCAATTTTCTTGTCCAACAATCCTACAATATGAGAATGAAACATAATTTAATTCAGAAAACTAGAAAATTCCATACTCTAACATAACTTAACCATAAAAACATCACTTCTTACCAATATTTTAATATCTAGAAAAAAAAAACTAAAATAAATCAAACATTAATAGTATAATTCATCCAACATTTAAAGATTTCTTTCTATGCTTTGACAATTAAGTTGGGGAAAAAATTTAGGGTAATGAAATCGACATTTAACAATT